TTCTCTGCTCTTCCAGGCGAGAGCGAGAGAGATATCAGCTGTTGCTGTTGCAGAACTTAGCTGAAAAACCGATTGGCTTACGAATCACAATGTACGTGAGCTTCGAATTTCTCTAGTTTGCTGAATCCAAGATCTTGTGATAAATGTTTTGGCAACAACTACCTTTGTGAGAACCTTATATCTTCATAGTCGAATGAAGCATGCGGCTATTGATTTACCAACTTTGTTTATATGATGGTGGGTGCAAAACCACATAGCATTGACACGTTACATGCAACAAACCAAAGTGGTTGAATATCCTCAGCTAAACCTCTATCTACGTGCCTCTTTTGAATCTTATCTGATAAGTTGAATAAGTTGGTTGTTTTAAATTACCAGCCTAAAACCTTGTGAGGGCATATAAATAGAGGTAAGCAACAATTAACTATTTGAATTTTGGCTAATAAGTGTTCGCTTCAGCACACTTATTCCTGCTACTTGGCTATTCTTTTGTATTTTTTGAATTCTTTGGAATCTTCTCATTTACCGTTTGAAATATTTTTGTAATGAAGATATCCTGGGAAGCTGACGTGGTTGAGTAAAATTTCTCGTTAATATAAAACTTACCTTACTTTACATAATCAAAAAATAATACTATTCATCAGCATTCTTCAATTAACTGTTAACTCTTTAATTTTAAAGTGCTAAATTTAAGAATATATTAGTTCTCTAATTGAAAAGTATATTTAATTTTGCCGTTGTAGTAATGGAAAAATTTAAAAATATTTTGAAAGAAAAATGATAATATTCCTTCCCTAAGACCATGCAAACGAAAAGATTATTCGACCATTGATAAAAATAAAGAATTTGACAGAAGTTAATTATAGATTATAAAAATATAAATTATATATATGATTCACTAAATATATATATACATAATATAGTAATATTATAGACGAATATATTATATAGTATAGCCAGTATAGCAAGCAAATTAAATGATTGAAATAATCTTTTATAATAAGCGTAAATCTGAAAATAACTAAAAATTTTTGTAATACAGTAAAGAGAATCGTTAATGTATTACAAAATTGGTATCTCATTGAGAAATATTATGCTGAAAAAAAAAAAGGCTGCAAGTGGCTAAGATGTGTCGGTTCTTAAAGTATACCTGCGAAAGTGTCTTTCGTTGACCCAAACCAGAATAATGCAATAAAAGCAAAAAGCCATAGTATGGTATATAACTAGAGGTTTCAAAAAATGGGTTTGTTGTCCAAATGTTTCGACACGCGGATTAAGCAATCCGCGCCCTAATACGAAAAAAACCAATAAACTATACGGTGTCAAGTCAAGTTTGAGAAGACCAGCATGCTAAAACATATGGCACTGAACGTGAGGGCTGAACTAATTATTAATAAAATTTTTATTAAATTATTGACTATAGCGACAGACATGCCCAAAATTAGGTTAGTGAGAACAAGTGCGATCCACGACATAATTTAAAACCGCTATTAAGAATAATTATATGAACAGCCCAGAGGAATTATACCAATGTGGGTTGACTCATATCAAATACAAATCCTTCTCTCTGGTGTTAGCATGCGATTCTAACAACCATGGTAGCGGAGCTAAATCCGTGGTACCAATAATTTTTTTCCGAAAGGTGTTCGCATATGTTTTGTGCTAGTTTTTCTCAGGATTTTGTTGTCGAAGGTCCATCTCAAGTGGTTGATATTTATCGGAGCAAGACAAATTAATAGTTCGGGATTGGACTACTGGTAGATAGGATTGATTAAGACTTAGTCTAGTAATAATTGTATGATATTCTGGGGTTTTATTGACTTCGAAATTAACAGAGTACAAGTTTGTACTTCCAACTATCGGAGTAAGTCAAGGGCTGGTTAGTACAGGAGAGTTATTAAGAAGATGTAATATATTATCGCTCTCACTATTTATATAGCAAATTAATGATGAAATAATCTTTTATAATAGCGTTCAAAAATAACAAAATTGTATAATAAAATGATCGTTAAATGTATTACAAAATTGTATCTCATTGAGATATGCTAAAAAAAAGCTGCAGTGCTAAGATGTGTCTTCTTAAGTATCCTGCGAAGTCTTTTACCAAGATATGCAATAGCAAAAGCCATATATGGTATAACCTAGAGGTTTCAAAATGGGTTTGTGTGTCAAATTCGACACGGATTCGCCTAATACGAAACATAATTAGGGTCAACATGAACGTGACTAATTTAATAATTTTATTAAATTTATTGACATGAACACGACATGAAAATTAGTTAGGAGACATGATCACGACACGTTTAAACCGCTTAATATTATAAACAGGTTAAGTGGGTTGACTCATATACAATCCGTGTAACTTTCTTAATATTATAAATAAGGGGTCATGTTGACCTGTATATGATTCACTTAACCTGCTTATAATATTTTTAAATTTTAACTTATTTAACTCCAATCGTATTTAAAAATAAATTTTCATATATAAAATGTAAATTCTTTAAGATTCATAACTAAAATAAAAAATTAGTACAACAATAAAATTTAAATAGGTTTTAGTAGTATAATTTATATTTATCATTAATATTTAATCCTTATCTGATTACAATTAAATAATGGGATTACTTGTCATTACCCCGGTGCTTCAACTCCCGCCACACCACATTTTATCTTTCTGTCCTTATTAACTAGCGTTATCTTCTATATATTGCACTCGATTTAACCTAACCCTGACCATTACTAATTTTGTGCATTGATTAGAGTGCAATTCTGTGACTTCGTCGTGTCATACCCTTTTTGACCATGCGCTTATCGTCGCGTTATGTATTGGGCTGTGCCTCAAAAAATGCCACAACTTTAAGTATTGTTTCAAATGGTCATCATTGTTGACGAAATTTAAGATTCATCTATATTGAAATAATGAAATTTAGCTATTTTTATAATTTATATTTCATGCATTTATTATAATGTAGTTCTTTAGATTTGACACGTATCTTTTATTCTATATATATATTTAGTGTGCATGTCTTTGCGTCTGTGGATGTCCTACTTATTTGCTTATTTTGATTATAAAAGATAATAATTATTTTCTCTTAAATTTATTTTTATGTTTTTTATTTTTCTTCTTTTGTCGGATGTTAGGTGTTATTTATTTAGTATTTTTAATATTATTTTATTAGGTTTTTAAGTTCCAATTATTTTATTATTAGATTTTTATTATTTTATTTATTGTTTTTCGTTTAGTTTCTTTTGATTATATTCATTTGTCCTCTGATGTATTTGTAGCTTTTTTATAGAAACAAAGTCAAAATAAAAAGAGATCATTTGTCAAAGCTTCCAGCAAATGTAGCCCCACAGGATGCTACAGCACCCCACGCTACTCTGCGAGGTTCACTTGGCCAGATTTCATCTTCAGAGGTTGTGCTGCCCACTCTAAATGTGGGATTCTACTCTTTCAGCTGGAGTCCTATTAGCTGAGGAGCGCTTTTGTTGGGCAAACATCGAATCTAACAGTTTTCCCTATCTGCACAGATTTCTTCTTAATAGAATAATTTTAACTTTTCCATAAATAATTGAGATATTTCAGCACAGCTCTATTATAAAGGAGAATATTCATGTCTAAGAGGTGACCTTGTATATTTCTCTCTTGTTCTTGATTTTACATAACTTTTCCTTTCTCTTTAGATTCAAGTCTCAAGTTGTGTCAGATTAAAGAAGCCCGACATTCAAGCAATCGTATGACTGAGTTTTAACGTATTTCTTAACCTTCTCCCTTTTTCTTTTCTATTTACATAACTAGGAATTATTTCATTTGAATTGAGCTTCTTTAAAATTATTCTCTTATTTGAATACATCTTCTATTAACTAGGGATTATGATGCTAGCTTATTACAACTGCAGTTATATATTCGATTTGATTTTCTTTATCAAGTAAAGATTTTTATTTGATATTATGCTATCTAATATGATGTAGCTTAAATTCAACTCCAGTTTATAAATATTAGATTTGATTTTCTTTATTCAAGTAAAGTTTATTATTGATCTTAATGCTTCTAGGCATCCATTGGATTGATTTATTTCATTAATCACTATCGAGAGAATGGTTTTCGATATGAACAGAGTAATAATTTCATGGGAATAACAACTTGATGCGAGAGCTAGATGGTTTGACTCGTGGGAGGTTTTCGTAAAATTAAAGATCTTAATTTGTGAATTTCTGAATAATCACAAGAACTTAATGATTTAATATATGTTTGGTTGCACCATTGAGAGATGAATAATTGAAGTGGATTAAAATAGCTAATAAAATATCGAGAGAGCTTATTAGCGAATTTATGAGTATTTCTTCTTCTTGAATAATTAAAATTGATTATCAAACTAATATGATAAACTAGATAGAATTAAGTGAAGTCAAAATTCGTAGTAACTTCTAAACCTTGATTTCTTTTCAACAACTTTTTGCTTGATTTCATTTTTATTATTTTTACTTTAATTCTTTTATTTTCAAATACATCCTCTTTACTGTCGTTTAAATAATAGTAGGTTAACACAATTTTGGTACTTGGTATACAATCTCGGTGGGACGATACTCTACTCACTCTTTATGCTAACTCCTTACACTTGGATGGAATAGTCTTTTTTGATTTTATATATTATATAGATATAGAATTTTAAAATATAAATTTTTTTTTATTTCATTTCAATTTTTTAAATAGTTATCAAAATTACAATAAAAATATTTCAAAAATAAATATAAAAGGCATAATTATTTTCATAAATTATTGTTTTCCTTGTATTTTTTTTAAAGATTTTTTTGATGGATTTTTATTCTTTAAGAGGAATATTTTATTATTTTTATTTGAATATGTTATACAAATAAAAAATACTAGTAATTAAATTTTTTATAATAGCAAAAGTATTAATTAATTCAATTATTATAATGCTGTGGTAATGTATAAAGTAGCAGTAGATCTCGAAAGATAAAAGCAGAAGAACAAAAACGGAATAAAACTAAAAGCAAAAGGCAAAAAAGCTTTTCTTTATTGACTTGATTACCTAAAGCAATACCTGAACAAAGAAAAACGCATCTCACTCTCCCCCTCACTCTGCAACTCCAGCCATGAGTCTTTTTGGACTGGGCAGGTTAGTTGAAGACTTTCACCTTTTATTCAAACTATGATTCTTTTAGTGATCGTAATCAGCTAATTACCATCAGATCGCGTCTATTTCTCAAAATTGGTTCACATAAAAGATTAGTGATCCATACAGCTAAAGTGTTTTTGTTAGTTTCATAATCAGTTAATTATGCTGTTAGTTCTAATTATTGTTTATTTTTAATGTTTTCTGATGCAATTGAGTTCTTCATCAGTGTGGTTTCTTGATTTAGTGAAATGAAATTCACTTCCCAGAAAAGAAAAAGTTAATTGACTTTAGATATTTCTATATATTGTAGTTATTTTTATTAATTTTGTATTAATCACAAGTGAGTTGGAAGCCTTTGTGGTATTCTCATCTAAATGTTTTTTCTTAAGCCTTTCAGAAGAATGATGATCCGAGGTATTCTTCTATGGGTATTAAAATTTTGACATTAGGGTTCAGGGTCTTGTCTGATTATGTTGTGGGTATCATAGAAAAAAATCTCATTATCTTCTCAAGGAGCTAATTCCAAATTTTTTAGATTTAATGAATATGTATTTGCAATTCACTTTGTGATAAATACTTGCCTTAATAGATGTTTTAAATCTAAAACCACCTGAGAAAGAAAACCTAGTTTGCTGATGCAAGAATCAGTTAAACTTTGCATTTTAGATACTACCATGTGTTATAAATGTAGAGAATAAATGCCTTGCTTGGTGGTTAAATGTTGTCTGGATACACGTAAAAATAGGTAAGCATTGGATTTATTAATTTATTTGTCACTGAAGATTGAAGAAGTCATTCTTACTAATTTCTCTTTTCTAGTAGTGGATTCGGAAACTAAAAGCTTCCTGTGGCTTGTAGATCTCCATTCCACAATAGATTGAATTGATTAATGAATTTAATTTTACAGTAAGAGACATTTGCAAATCGATTTTACTAATGAGTGGTGAATAGTTTTGCATTGGTGGGTCATCTGTCTCCATTGGATCAAAAAGTTGTTCATTGTGAGAGCCTGTAGTTAGGATAGAATTTTGTTGCACAAACAAAGAAACTAATATTGATGCAACCTGTGTTAAAGGAAAAGCACGAAGATAAGCAATATAGTTGATAAAAATTATAATCAAGATTGTCCATGGAGATTGAGATTTATGTAACTAAGTAGCTGATATGATCAAAGGAGTAGTTAATTGGGTCCTTAAGTATTCTTGATTCTAAGGCTCATTGTAAGCTTCTCACATGAATACAAATTAGTTGTTTAGGAAAATATACTAATTTCGGCCAATAGAAATTAATGTCTTGTATGTTACTAACAGGAAGCTAGATTCTTGGCATGATCTCTTTCTTAGCAGGCATTGATTGTGAGCAAAAAAGGAAAGATATTATTTTTGTGAATAAGTTTCCAAGTAAGCAAGGAAAAGTTGGGTTTTGATTTTATTACTTTGTCTAATTAAGCAGTAGTTTCTTCTTCATGCTTACCAATGTATTGCTTTGATTCTCCTAAGTTGGGCAGCATTCAGTTGTTATTGATTCCACATAACTACTTTTTTTTAATATTAATTTATTATTTTCTTTTCTATTAGTAAATCTGCCTTATAAGTTGCCTGTAAAACAGAAACCAAAGGACATTCCGGCCCAAAAAGAGTGCACCATCTGGGAGTAAGGTTGGTTTGCTTTGTTTAATTAATAAATTTGGCAATCTCTTTCTTGTTGTTCTAGTTATCATGTGATCTTATGATTGGATTTCTCAAATGCTTGTATAGTGCTTGACCTTTCAAATTTGTTTTCTTTGGAAAACGTCAAGTTATAGGTATTTATGATTCTCCATATTAGCATGGAATGGGAAAACCCACTTTGCAGTATGTTCTGCTGATGGACGGCTTTCAGTAGACATTTTAGAGAATAATGATATTTAATGTTTGGAGTTATATTGTTCAGATTTTTGCCATCATGAATAACTGATTTTTGGTGAATTTAAGATGAACTGTGAACATGACACCATCTTTTTAGGATGTAAGCATGAATACATTAAATAATACAAATTGTGGATAAAATAAATAAACACTTGCATCGTCAAACACAAGAATATTTTAGGTACCTTACTACCTTTATATTTTTTTTGTATTTCTTTCAAGAGGAAGCGTCACGATTATCTGCTAATCAGGTGTTTTTCATCTTGGTATCATTTGAGGTACTTTAGAGGTGTTTCTGCACAGCATTGTTCCAAATCAGGTGGCTTATTTTCAAGGGCTGTTAAAATACACACTTGAAAATGAAATCTTGTAGTATTGGAGAATACACAGACACACACTTTTTTCACCTTTTATAATTTGATTTTTCTACAGTGGACATGTTGCTCAGTCCTTTCTGTATATCAATGCTATTTACTAATAAAAGACGAAAAATAATTTTGGCAGCTGTCACCAGAATATGCAGAAGTTTATACTAGAATACAGTCAGCATAGTGCTAGAATTGGACTGTAAATGATTGAATTCTTCATTGCTTGAGGCCTAAACCTCTTGCTGTAAACTATGAACTGGATTGAAAAAGAAACTCTATTGTGAATAGAAAAGATGCATGTAAATTAACATTATATGCATCTTTGAAGATATGGTATTTATGATTATTCACATTTCCATGTTGTCACACAGAATTCTGCTTTTGTCAAAGAATTCAGGGTTCATAGGGGTTTTAGATTCGGGTGGAATATAATCTGGGAAAAAAAATTGAAAGTGAGTGAAACAGAGTAAGGACGCGTTGTTAAATATATTTGACTGGCAGTAAAGTAAGAAATTTAATTACATAGCATGACGTGTCTTGTTAAGAGAGTAACTGATTGGAAATAAATAAGAGAATAATTAATCAGTGATTTAAGGAAATTGGTGGGAATTGTAGACCTAAAAATCAATAAGGTGAAAGATGGAGAGATTAAATGGATTTGCTTATTAGGAAGCTAGCTTATGTATTGCAACACAACGGCATTCATTGGTAACAAAGACAGAGTATAGCATTTTTTTATAGGAAGCATACTGAGAAAGGGGGATGTATTTTCTATATAAGATAAGGGAAAACAATCATTGGGCTGGAAATTAATGGCAATTTAAAAATCCATATAGAAAGCTAGGACATAATAATCAGAGGTGTCCAGACACTAAATACATTCTTTTAATAGCAACATAGCATAAATATCCAGTAACTTGATCAATTGGCTGGTCCATGTGGTTAAATTTATGTTCAGTTGCTACCATTTTAAGCATTAAAAATGATAAAGACAACTCAGGCCAATGCTGTTGTAACTGGACTATGCTTCTGGCTTCTATTTATAATATAAGGCACTGGATCGCAAACTTCTTGTGATGTTTTCTTATTGATTTTTTAACAATGACGCAGGGTGCACAACTTAGAAAGCACATTGATGCCACCTTAGGTAGTGGAAACCTGAGGGAAGCTGTAAGACTTCCTCCTGGGGAGGATCTGAATGAGTGGCTTGCTGTCAACAGTAATATCTCTCACTCTCTCCTTTTCTTATGTGCATGAACATAAATTGTCTAGGGATCTTTTTCTATATATATATTTTTAATCACCGTCAATCTGTAGCTGTAGTGTGACATCATGCAATTCCATGATAATTAACTGTGCAATATTTTAGTACTCTTTCATCCTGAACACTTATTTTTTACTGTTAAATGCTTTTCAAAATTAGAATCTGAAAATAAGGTTTTTGGATTATCCCATTTCAGCTGTGGATTTCTTCAACCAGGTGAATCTTCTCTATGGTACCCTCACAGAGTTCTGTACTCCAGAGAACTGTTCTACAATGTCTGCAGGCCCCAAGTATGGCATGCAATTTAACTGCTTTTTTTTCTATTTTTTATACCGCTTGATAGTTGGCTCATAGACATCTCATTATTATATTATACAAACAGATAAATCATCTCAAATCATAAAAATTTTATCCAAGTATCAGTTATGGCCTTTTTTTTTTTTTTTTTTTTTTTTTTTTTTTCATATGACATCTCATCTAATTATATTTATACAAACAGATAAATCATCAAATCATAACAAAATTTTATCCAAGTATCAGCTTTATGCGCCCTTTCATTTTTTTTTTTCTTTTTTTTTTTTTTTTTTTTTTGGCATTGTGCATCTACTTCAGTATTTAGGCCTTGTTGGTGGGAATTACATAAGGGTACATCAAATTGGACCTTCTTTAGGAAGTGCACCCATTTGTCTTTTTTGCTTCCTGTTTTTTTTTTTTTTTTTTTTTTTTTTTTGCATTGTGCATCTACTTCAGTATTAGGCCTTGTTGGTTGGGAATAAATAGGGTACAAAATTGGACTTCTTTAGGAAGTGCACCCATTTGTCTTTTTTGCTTCCTGCAGTTAAACCAAGTTCCTAGAAAGTTAGGTGTTGCAACTTCTTGTTCTTTTGTGAAGTAACTTCTTATGGGGGAAGCAATTAAGCCGCACCGAGTTAAGTGTGTTGCTAATTGATCAATTTGCCTTTTAATTGAAAGCTAAACTAAGAAAGAGAAGTGTTTAAATTATTTTTAATAAACTCATTTATCCTTAAATTAATTAAATACTGATATACACAACATTATTAGATTACTCTGTTTTATAATATTATTTTTGTTCCAAACATATATTATGTGCTAGTCAAAAATTTATTTTCTTATTTGAAATTACCCTGTTCTACCCTGCCTATAGTTTTAAACTCTTGATTAAGCGAAAACATCTCGTGGTGTTCTTACCATTAATCTCATATTTCTTGAATCCTATTGGCTATTATTAAAAATCAGCTCCCATGCTAAAATATAAAAATCACTTTTGGAATGTCTTAATTTGGCAGTGGGGTACCATTGTTTATTGTGACATTACTTTCCAAGTCATAATAATCAAAAAGAAAAGATCCCAATTCATACTAACTCAGCATATGATCTAAGTGCATTATATGTTCTTTCCAAGAAATATAAAAACTTCTTGGAAAATATACTTCTCCGGAAGTGGAGTATGTTGAACGAAATGTGAGGCCTTAATATTTACTATTATGGTCAGTCTGGAACTTATGTGTTCCAAAGTATTAAAGGTACTGACACTTGCCATATATTTTGCATAATATATGAAAATGAAGCGATATGTAAGATGAGAGAGAACAAAAAATAATTTCTTTTATTTTCTAAACAAAACTTTTTCGAAATCTAAAGTGGTATTATAATAAATTTTATGATTATTAGATGTTATGATAATTCAAAATGTCTTGTTATCAAGAATTTTTTAGCCATTTGTTAAAACGCTTTATAATTTGCTTGTAGCTTCCCCTTTTTCTATTTCTTTTTTCTCCCCTTACCAGATTTTCCTTAGGTGATTGGAACTCTTTATTACAGATGCTAATGTATTAATGCAGCTGGATTTAAAACTAAAAAGCTTAAGCATTATTATAATATATTTGTCTTTATCTGGTCAAATGAAGGAAAAAAAAAAATCCAAACCTTTGCGCTGTTTTCAGTTATAGTCAATTCTTTCAATTTCACTAATTTGTAGCTGAAACTTGACATGCATTCAATTTACCAGTAAACTTAAATGGCTGGCCACACAAAACTATGTAAACATGTGCACCCAATTGGATTCGTTACTGCGACTGAATGCATATGTCAAAGTTTCACGTACAGAAGCGTAAAATTAAAAGAAGCGGCTTAAAATGAAAAAGTGTTCAAAGAGTTGATATATATAGATATTTGGTAATTTGGCTGCTTTATTTCAATAAATTTCCAGAGGAAAAATGAAGAGAACAATTAGATAGAGGCATTCAGTAGCTTCCCATACATCCAACTCATTTTACTCTTCCATGTAAGTTCAGCCTCATGTACTCATTTTTGATGCTTATAGCTTGCAAGTTTTGATGTTGCTTTTGCATACCAGAGTTCTTTTCTAATCTTGGCCAAGAAATTAGTATTTGGTACTTCTTTCCTAATGTGGAAAAAAATATAAGAATTCTCTGCCATGTTTCTTGAATGCTTGAACAGGATATTTAGCCAAATTGATGACATTGCCACCCATCTTAATCTGATAAAAGTATGTTCAGCACTTTTCAGTTGTATTTGTTTCTCTTTTCGGAATTCATGATTTTGGGGGGTGAAACCTTTTCAGGTATGAATATAGATGGGCAGATGGAGTGCAAATCAAGAAACCTATTGAAGTTTCTGCTCCAAAATATGTTGAATATTTAATGGACTGGATTGAAGCTCAGCTTGATGATGAATCCATATTTCCTCAAAAGCTTGGTAATTATCATCAGATATCTACCTTTCTTTCTTGTGGAGATGCTTATAACTGCAAGGCCTCTGCTTTCTTTTTTATTTTTATTTTTTTAAATTCAATTTTGTTCTAGAATATATAATGACTTGGATGAGGATAAATATAATGATTGTACTAAAGCTATGACAACCAACACCACCGCTAGTTCAAGTTTGGAACCACTACATCAATCTCTATATGGTACAAGTGGGCAATGGATAGATGTGACCTCTAAGTTATACTAACTACTCCATTTTAAACTTTTCAGGTGCGCCATTTCCCCTCAATTTCAAGGAGGTTGTTAAGACAATATTTAAACGTCTATTCCGTGTATATGCACATATTTATCACTCTCACTTTCAGAAAATTGTGAGCCTCAAAGAGGAAGCTCATCTGAACACATGCTTCAAGCATTTCATACTGTTTACCTATGTGAGTCCTTTATCTCTAATTTTGGCAAGTAATTATTATCAGCTTATACGCACACAGGTGCACATGCATACACAATTAACTAAGCTTACTTAAAAATGGCAATTTTTACTCCAAGCCTATTATTCCAAACTGTCTATTTCATTTGATGTGATTATTATTTTCTGAATTCATGTACGCATGATGTGTTTGTCCTTGATGTTATATGCTTGCACAAATATCACTGTTTCACTCTCTAGTGTGCTTGTTATCATGTGTTAATTTTCTTGGGTTTTCAATTTTCTTCAAAAGTTAGATACTAGACTAGGAATTCATCATATAAGACTTCTAAATCACGTGCTTAATCCAATCTGAGATTTTCTACAATTTTTTAAAATGTACTAATGATTTTTCTGTGTAAGATTTATAGCTATATTAATAATATTCTTCTTTTACTAGGTAGAACTGTATGGGTTTCTGTTAGTAGTTTTAATGTATTATGAATAATTATCTTATATTCTTTCAATTGTTATTATCATTTACTTTTGCCTGTGTCCAATTAAACAAGCTGAAAAATTCAACATTTTAGGAGGAAATTCAGTTTTTAGTTTGGATCATTTCAGTTATCGCTTTATAAAAATTTTCAGTTATTGAAAAGATGTTAACTAAACTAACCAAAATAATGAATTTATATTATTTAGTAGATATATATATAGCTGTTATCAATATATCATTATTTTAAATGAACTTTATATTAATAATAAATAATTTAAATTATATTGTATTTGAATATATAATGATAACGTATTTTAGTAACTGATTGGTTATAATCAGAAGAAATTGAACAGCTGAAAATCATATTTTGGTTTGGGTATGTTCGGTTTTCTACCAAAATGTGGTTCAATTCAATTATTATTTTGGAGGCGTTGAAAAATTTCAGTTAAGTAGAAATTCGGTTTGATAAGGTTCAGTTATCTGAATGTTCACCACCTATAATATCAGAATCTACTCTAGCTAGCACACTTCTGTTGTGGTCATCTGCTTTTGGAAATTAAGGACGGTTTCTATTCTTGTTTCTCTATTTGGTCATCAAGCTACTAAAGTGAAAATGAAATCAGAAATAGTTTGGAACATGCAAAGGGAATGTTCAACAGAATAAGGTCATTTTGGCTACTGAACTATGAGGAATTTCCAAATTAGCCATTGTATATGACTTTAGTCAAATTGACATAGAACTCTTGTGAATTTGGCCAAATTGCTGTTCACTATCACAACCTCTGAAAGTTAATAAAATATTATTATTTTTAATTTTTTAATTAAAATTATAAAATTTAAAAATTCTAGAATCATTAAAAAAATAAAACAAATAGAGATAAAATAGAATCAAGTTTAAAGTAATTTATATCACTCGATTCAAATCCCTAATATCTTTCACTCTCTCTAACATCCATCTATTCCATTAAATTCAATTTCAGAAATCTTGTGAAAGAATATTTTCTCTTCCTTTTTAGAATACTAAACCTAAATTCAATAAAAAGAACTCCAAATCTAAAGCTCAAAGGATAGCTTTTCCTCCTAGTGGATGCCCTGAGTTGCTGTTGTAAGATATTATGGGTGTTCTATTGTCTAAGGCGTGCGAGCCCTAGGATTTTTTGTGATGTCTTGGGGTCATCCCCCTTTCTGATGCGGAACCCCAAGAATAGTGTCTTGACACCCCAAATCAGATTTGATATATAAACCCTAAATCCCAAATTAGGAGCCCTAATTCCCAAATTAGGAATTTCTTGTTAGATGGAATTGCGGATCTTGACCCAAAACTCAATTAGAAGTATGAATCAAAGATATCAAGGTGAAAGAATGAACGCTACAAAGACTAATTATCATGAAGAACCACAGAGAATTCACGTCTCTTGAAATAAAATGCATAAACTGAATAATCTGTTAATAAATCTCCTTACAATACTGAAAACTAAGTATTTATAAGCTAAGAAACCCTAACAATTAAATGAAACATAAAGTCCAATTTAAATAGGCCTAATTACGCTAATTAAAATATAAAATTAATCAAAAGACTCAAAAGCCCACATGTTTGGATCATGTTAATTAGCCTTGGATCTTCTTTTAGGTCCATCTCTTCATGTTCACCTTAAGCTCGTTGTTTTTCCATTATTCGACACGCATCATACCCCCTTTCTTGAAAAGGATTTGTCCTCAAATCCGAATCTTTATTGCTCCATAAGTATGTTGGTGTATCTCTTCCTTCAAGTGCCACTAGATTAATGCATACTCTTGGATCAAATGGAAAGTTCTTGAATTCCTTATCTTGCATAAGATCAAATTGAAAAAAGTATAGAATCATCTCTCCTAGCCAATAGAAGTGCTCTCCTTTTAGTTCAAAAACTTTCATTTTGTCAAAGTATGTTGCCAATTTTTGCGCTTTTAAGTACTTCTTTAATATTACAATAAAATCAAGGTGAACAATATCACAATTATCAATAAATTTACAAAAATCATGTTTTATTGGTTGCACAAAAGTGCTATGCAACTCCTTCTCAAGTATAGAATCGACTTGATGTGTAATTCCTTCAATAGACGGTGGTTCCTTTTGTAATTCCACCATAGGTACAATAGAATTCTCTTCAACCAGTTGCATCTTTTCCTCTTTCTCTTCAATTAATGGCTCTAATTTGTTCTTGATCAAAAACAAACTTCCCCCTTTTCTTTCTCCAACAAAAGATTATCAGCTTGTACTTGTTGTGAATCAAGAGGTACCAAGGTTATTTTTCTTCCATCCTTCATTAAAGAACAAGTTCCTTTGACTTTATCATGATTAGCAGACCTGGTAACATGCCATGGTCTTCCCAAAAGCAAATGACTAGAACTCATTGGAGCCACATTACATAATACCTCATCTTTGTATCTTCCCATTGAAAATGGAACAAGAACTTATGTAGCCACTCTTACCTCACTACTTTCGTTTAGCCATTGAAGCTTGTATGAATTAGGGTGTACAATAGTAGATAACCCTAGTTTTTCTACAAAGTGGAAGTTATATTGACACAACTGTCTTCATCAATAATAATTCTACCAATCTTATCACTAGTTACTAAGAATGTAGTGTGGAATATCCTCACCTTCTGCTCATCATTATTATTTCTATAAGCACTGTGAACAGGCCTTGGTTGCCTCCTTTGTAGGTTATCAATAAGTGCATTTTGTCTTTCCATTCTATCTCTTTCAAACATCACAATCATTTGCTCAAACCGTTGCTGTATATCTTGAAGAATAGAAAATTCTTCTTGTTTCATTATGTCATTACTTTTGTTAAGCATGGTGATAAATGGACAAGAAATATAGCAACAACTATTTTCGATTTCAACAAAGAACAAGAGTAAGATGATTTAACATGAAAACAAGTAAATCAAAAGCAAATGGAAACAAACGGAAGAAAATGGAAGCAAACGAGAACAAACGGAGTCAGATGGAAATAAACGAAAGCAAAATGGAAGCAAACGAAAGCAAAACGGAAGCAAAACGGAAGCAAAACGAAAGCAAAAACAGAAACAAATGGAATCAAACGAAAACAAACAGAAGCAAAACGGAAACAAATGGAAACAAAAGAATATAAACGAAAGCAAAATAAAAATAGATAGAACCTGATGATAAATGGACAAGAAATATAGCAACAACTATTTTCGATTTCAACAAAGAACAAGAGTAAGATGATTTAACATGAAAACAAGTAAATCAAAAGCAAATGGAAACAAACGGAAGAAAATGGAAGCAAACGAGAACAAACGGAGTCAGATGGAAATAAACGAAAGCAAAATGGAAGCAAACGAAAGCAAAACGGAAGCAAAACGGAAGCAAAACGAAAGCAAAAACAGAAACAAATGGAATCAAACGAAAACAAACAGAAGCAAAACGGAAACAAATGGAAACAAAAGAATATAAACGAAAGCAAAATAAAAATAGATAGAACCTGATTTGAGCCAAAGCTCTGATGATGCGGAACCCCAAGAATAATGTCTTGACACCCCAAATCAAATTTGATATATAAACCCTAAATCCCAAATTAGGAACCCTAATTCCCAAATTAGGAATTTCTTGTTGGATGGAATTGCGGATCTTGACCCAAAACTCAACTAGAAGTATGAACCAAAGATATCAAGGTGAAAGGATGAACGTCACAAAGATTAATTATCTTTGATAAGTTCAAAAACAAGTTCAATGAAGAGCCACAGAGAATTCGCCTCTGTTGAAATAAAATGCATAAACTGAATAATCTGTCAATAAATCTCCTTACAATACTGAAAACTAAGTAATTATAAGTTAAGAAACCCTAAAAATTAAATGAAACATAAAGCCCAATTTAAATAGGTCCAATTACGCTAATCAAAATAAAAAAACTAATTAAAAGACTCAAAGCCCACATGTTTGGATCATGTTAATTAGCTTTGGATCTTCTTTTAGGTCCGTTTCTTCATGGTCACCATAAGCTTGTTGTTTTTCCATTATTTGACACGCATCGCTTTCTGTAAATTAAAAAAAAAAAAAAGATTTTCCTTCTCTCTCCTTTTGTTGTTGTCAATTCCTTTTTTTCTTTTTTTCTTTTTCTCCTTACTCTCAATACTTCATATCCACTGGCCATTATCTGTCCTATATTTCATCTCTATCTGAAAGCTATGACAATAGCTCCAGCATGGCATCCCTTTGGCCATATCTAACGAAAATAAGGCTTAAAAAATCTTATATGGCTCTGTTAAAACCTTCAATGACCTTGATCTTTCAAACTGTTGGAAATAGCATGGAAAAGAAGATCGAAATGTAAGGGAAACTTTTTGAGTTGGGCCATTTTGCATCATATCTAAAGAATTCTTTGTTTGGGCCAAAGAAGCAATGTTATTCGATCATTGTCAAATTAACTGCAGCCTTTTCTTGTATGAGGATCCCACTCATTAGAGCACTTGAATCTAGTGGTGGTGGAATCGATAATGCTAACCAGCATCATTAGTGAGGGCAAAAAGTTGCAATCTTTTATCGGTTCTCTCGACTTTCTTTTCTTTTTTGGTTATTTGTTTTAATTTCTGTGTTTTTCATTTTTTTTCATTACCTTCTTTTTTCGAGATCTCATAATTCTATTAGAAGAGAAATTAGTAAAAGTAATAATGTTTTATTACTAATTCAGATTTCTCGGAGTAAATGACCATTCGGGGAATTTGATTCATAGTTCAGTGGCATTTTCACCTTCATTAATCACTCAATCACTAGCCAAGTATCACATGAAGTCGATCATTCTTCGATCAAAACATTATATTTTAGTATTAGAGGTAGCAGTATGTTATGTTATATCCTTTGCTGGCATGGCGTTGTTTGATGCATCAGCAACTTAATTCTTTATCCAGAGAAACCAAAAAGAAAAAAAGGGGCGTTCTCAAAATTAAGTCTGAATAGGTATTTATCTAGACTTCAGTGTGTATCCTTGCTGCCTTGGAAATGGGTTCTCGTTACTTTTTTTCGATATTTTGTTTGCAATTCCCATGGTTCAGAAGCATATTTAGTGTTCATCCCAATAAAGCTCGATGTTCTGTACTATATCAAATGTCCTTGAGCTCCTCATTAATTTGATGGCTAGTATTTTGACTGAATCAATTAAACAGAAATCACTAATTATTGGGTGCGCTTAACATGTTCGATTTTATTTAATTTTTTGAGCAGGAATTTGGGTTAATAGACAAGAAGGAGCTTGCACCTCTCCAGGAGCTCATAGAATCCATAATTGTTCCTTACTGAATGTGGGGTAAGTCCATCCCAAGTTCAAAGATGTTATATTAGAGATACATATTAAACTGAATAAACTCTATTTGAAACACATAGCAAACTGAAATAAGGAAACTGTGATTAGCAATTTCAAATTGTGTTATATGCGTGC